ACTTAATGAAAAAATATTTTATTATAGTGTTTTGGAAAGCTCTCGAGATAAGCTACAAGAATATTCAACGAAAAATGGGGCTTCCCGTTTAAAAAAATGACGACCTTCAAATGACCTTGAAAATGAAGGACAAGGTCATTGTCAAGGTCATAGTTCAATCAGCCCCTTTATATCCAACAATTTTTGTTTTAAACATTTTTTTATTTAATCGCGATGTTTCGAGTTATTTGGCTGTCTAAGTTAAAATGGGTCACCCTGTATATAATCCTATTAGTTGACAAACTTGTACAATGTAATACATTTATATTATTAGAGGTTTTTTAGAAGAAGCAAATTTTTAATTAGTAGAGGAGATGATAGATTATATATAAGATTAATTTTTAAACAATATTGCTTGCTTAAAGCTATATAATATTATAAGAAAGACACATATGTGTTTGGCGCATATAAAAGCAAACAGTATTATATTTGTTTCTCTCAGCATGTACTTTAGACAGAAAACTTAAGTAGGATTTGTCTATGTCTATACATCTTCTTGTCTAACAGAAATCGAAACGTGTCTGGAATTGAGAAATGTAGAAGTAGAAAAAGGGATTTTTTGTTCTTTAATTTGCTTTTATTTATTTTGTTTCCTTCATTATTTTTTGCAAGGAAAATTTTAATCAATCTTTTGTCTAATATTAAAAAAGAACGGAAAGTATCCAGTGAACATCTAATTATGTCTGGAAATATTTTTCAAGTTTGAAAAAGCGGAGAACATTGATTTCGCTTCTACATTCCTTGATCCTACTGTACATGAATTTTTGCGCGTTAAATATTCTGGCAAAAAAAAAAGGAAAGAAACGGAGGAACAAAGGGAAACGCTGTTGAAGGTGTCATAGAAACCGTTAGAATATACGTGTTAATGTTTGTATTCGTTGGTGTGCATGATGACGAGTTTTGTTCACAGTTCACATGATGGTGGAGGAAGAGCCGCTGTTAGACGAGGAATACCATCACGGATCCGGCACGGCCGTCGACCTCTGATATATATTAGCTTTAAGCTATTGGTTTTTCGATCGGCCACACGCGACCACGTCTTGAAACAATAACGTCGTCGGAAAGTCTATAGAAATAATAAAGTTCGCGTCGATCTCGCAGGGTGTTCGATATTGTTGGACAACATCCACGAGACCGCGCGACGTCAATTGCACGAGGAATGAAACTTGTGTGTCTTACCCTACAAATGCATGGTGTATCTCGCATACGTGCTCGCGTATAGAGAAGAGATTTGTCCTGCATCTCCCTTTTATACCGCAATATTTCGTACGTGCCGTTTCGATACTATATATACAATTATATTGGATTCTCGACGGAAACAGTACAAAGAGCGAGCATTGACGATACGATTGTACGAGCGAAGTCGCTTTCTTTCTTGTTATATGTGCGCTTATCAGTGAGGCTACTTAAATGGCATTACTTAAATGGATATATAAGAGAACGAGAGAAGATATAGTCCTCAATATTACAAGTCTACTAATCTCTTCGCGCAATGTGTGCTATTAGCGAACTTGAAGATATTTGTATGTAACTTTATATGTAACAAAGTCAGAAATCAACGAATTTTGCCTTGTTAAGATCTCGTCAAAGGGGATTCGAGAATCTCCTGTAAAATGTATTCGGAATGTAAAAGTTGTTGAAAGTAGCATTTTTTGATCAAGCATAGAAGCGATATTTTGACTTGCTGATTTTTGAATCGTTTGAATACGATCGCGTTCGTGACGCAGTCTCTTTCTTACGTGCGATATCACCAGAAAAGCTGTTGGTATCTTTTATACAGTAACAATAATGTAACGAACGTAGGAAGAAAAAGCAACTTTGAAATCTTGCAGAAAATCGTTAAATATATGTATAAGTTAGAAAGACGAACGAACACTACAGTATTACAAATGTTTCTTGTAGTTTTTAATTCTTTCGCGTGTCTGTATTTTAATGTGTCTGTTATTTGCACAAAATCTTTATTTGCAAAGATTAAATCTATCATACTAATCTTGATTCATTTAATTTTCACAAACGTTAGAGATTTATTGTCTGTCATCTTGGATGATGATTTACTTAATCTACCTAATCTGTGGTGTTCGCACAGTAGAAGATAATGCTGATCCTAAGACACTTTTATCTCAACGAAATCGCGTAATTTATTATAAAGTTCGTATGGTATTTAATAAAATTTATACAAGCGCGACGAGTGTCCTTGAAATTTTCCCAATTTGACCAAGATCAAATTATCCATGCTTAAAAGAGAAAACAGAAAGATATTATATATAATATCTATCAACTTTTTTCTCTCTGGGGAACTAAATCATCTATGAAAACGTTTTATCTTCGGCACTTTTTACATTAAGCGAATTCCTTATAAAAATTTAATACTGAAATATTACATATTAATCTATCAATTTTTTTTCTCTCTGGGGAACTAAATCACGTACAAAAACGTTTTATCTTTGGCACTTTTTACATTAAGAGAATTCTTTATAAAAATTTAATACTAAAGAGTAGTGATCAATTTCTTATTTCGAGTATTAAAAGCACACTATTATATTCAATGCTTTTAATACTCGAATTAAATTAGGTTGCTATGAAAGATGTTATAATTTCCCTTCGTGTCGTGTGTTATGGCTCCTTGGAATAAAATGTGCTTGATCATATTAGATTAATCGATGGACACGCGCGCCTACTCGTTACGATGAGGGCAGCGAGCTATAGTTATTGGCGTATAAGTTGTGGGTTTCCGAATGAGGCCGCCTCTCGTTGCCCGCGACCTTCCCGCGTGAATTCCCACGTGGAAGATTTTGGGTGTGCTCTATGCAGCCTCCCTCCTCCCTCCGAAAAAAGATATCGAAGACGGCACCCTTGTCCTTCGCCCTGCCACTGGTCGGTCGGTCGACCTAGTCGACGCCCCGCAAGGTTCTGGCCTCGTTCCTAGCCTCGTGTGCGCGTCTCCCGCCACCTTCCTGCGTACACTCCCGGACGTCCAGCTGAATCTGACGGGGCGTTATTGATCCGGCTGGTGACGCCGTGCGAGTACGCCAACCGGGCCATGCGATGTGCTTCTGAACACAGGGCTGAATTAAAGAACTCACTTTTAAGCTTGTAATTAAAGAATCGTTTTTGAAAGCAACATTTTTAGAGTGGAGATAACGAAAGCATTCGAACTTGCTGGAGATGCTTTGCCCTGCAACGCATGTTCTCCATTTTTAAATGGAATATATTATATGTATATCGAATTTAACCCCTTCAGATCTGATTTTAACTATATTAAATCCTGGAACTATGTTAAACAGGTTTTTTTTTTAATTATCAATTCAAAGGCACTTTAATAAGTAATTCATACTAAAAGATTTTTTTTTAATTTTAACTATTTTTCTCCATATACATTATTATGTATACATTTGATTTTAGATGATGTTGATAGAATTAAATTTCAACGGATAATGTCTCCAAATTATTGCAATGTGCACATAGGGTCTAAAGGAATTAATACACAATTCAAATAAACTTGAAAATAATTAAGATGTTGGGGAGAGAGAGAGAGAGAGAGAGAGAGAGAGAGAGAGAGAGAGAGAGAAATTAGACATATATTAGAAATTATTTGTTATATAATTTACATATTGTAAATTATAATGTAGAAATCTTGTCGATTATCCCATTAAAAATGTGAAGAAAAGAGATATTACTTAATAATGGAAGAAACTTTAATTTGTCGATTTTGGTGCTACGGGCAGGTCGTATTAAAAAAGTTAAGTTTTCAGTTACTATTGTTTTTATAAAACTTATTGGTTTTTGTCCATTTGTAATTTATCATTATTGTTTTTATAAATAGTAAAAAATAATTATTATACTTAATATCATAATGGGTTCTCTTTTAGTTGGATTTTAGATAATTGTATTTAAATATAAAACGCGACATTATAAGAATGAGGCATTGAAGTTGTAATTGATGTAAAATAAAATTATGTTTGAGATCTTCGATCGCTAGTAAATTAACAACAATTTTCTGTACGTCCCCATACATACATCTTAAGAAAAGAAAAATCATATGATCAATATAGTACCTACAAAAATATTTGCTCTGTCCACAGCGTATTCTACGCCATACACAAAGACAAATATTACACGTGCGCTCTGTTCTACGCCCTATATAAAAAAATCAATAGAGTCTAATATGGTCTATGTGTTATATCTGTACAGCAAAAAAAAGAAATAATTAGAAGAATTTAGGTCCGAGCTGAAACTGAAGAAGATCCGACCATTCTTCCTCCGCTTGTTACTCGGCCGCGCTTTAACCGCGGCGACAAAACGGATGAGATGTCGGACGCGCGAGTCGGTAGTTGAGGCCTAATAAATGAGAAATAATGGAAATTCACTTTCAGAAACGGAATCGGGATGGCTTGCGCCGTTACTGGAGGCGCGTCCGGGGTCCGGCGTCCGTAGACATGCGCTTGCCTGGTACCGCTTCTGGCGAACGATCAGCGTCGCGACGACGCGCGACAGCCGCGAGGCTCC